ATCTAAGTAATTAGGCAAGTTTGATCATATCGCCGGGGAGTTTGTACTTTGTGGCCTAACAATGTGTTTAACATTAATTAGATTTAGGAGCTTATAAATAATCGGCAATATAACTAAAAACAAATTTATTATGAAATTGGAAAACAGAAATAGTTTTTTTTTTTTTTTTTTAAAACAGCCAACTATATATTAAAAAACAAGAAAAAAAGGGCTAGCAAAAAGCTAGGCTAAAAGGAATTACAAAAAATTTCAAAGGGTTTTGTAACCAATTAACCCAAGACAAAACATACTTACTATGTCTCTTTGAAAACCACAAAAATGAAAATAGTTGCAAAGATTATTCGAGACTATATGAATGATAAAAACAATACCACGTTCAATTCAATTTTCAATCAATTATATTTTTGATTCCAAAGGAAAGAAGTCAATCTCTTCCAAATGGGTTTATAAAGTGAAATATTGAGCATATGGTTCTATAGGAAGATACAGAGCCAAATTAGTGGTAAAAGAGTTCACGCAAAAAGTTGGAATAAACTATCACGAGACTTTTTCCCTAGTAGTAATGTTCAGTATGTTGGATATGACAGGGTTTATGTTGAAAATATGGATACCACTTGGATCATGTCAGCACTTTCCTAATTGATATTTTACCCTATGTTTGGGTTGCAAGAAATTCGGCATAGGATAATCAAAGAGGACACTTACGATTCTAAGCACAAAAACCATAAGCCAAATTGCTAAAAGAATTATGTGTTTGTTTGAAGAAAAAGAGAGCCAATGATTTTTGTGTACCGCTTCTCAAAGAGAAGAGTTGTTTATATAATAAACGAGATTAGGGTTTCACTTAGGTTTGACCGTCATTGGTTGCTTTGGAAGCAAGCAAGGAAATCCGAAATTCAATGAGGATTTAGGGTTTCCAAAACTAACGAATTTTGTTAGTTTTACCATAATCACCCTCAAGAATATGAATTTCCCACTATGTTCTCGTATGTAAAATTCAGAGAGGTTTTGGGGCGCTGCCCCAAACCTCAGCCAGGGGCTCTGCCCTTTGGACCCCGCTAGGGGTGCCACCCCTTTGGAAACCCGGGACACAAGGGTGTTGCCCTAAGACCCCCGACTTGTCGTTGAACTAGCTTCTAATTCGATCTTGTACATGCGTGCACTTCGTAGAAACATGTACATATATTAGAGTACAAAATATGAACCCCCTTAGCTCACATATTAGTTCCAATTACATAAAATGATATGGTGACACTAAAATCACCAACACAATACAATCATATGTATAGTTGTAGTTGCTATCAAAAGAAGATAGGACATTCAACAATTAGATATAAACAATGCATTTTTGAATGGAGACTTACACGAAGAGCTTTATATGAAGACACCTCCAGGATTTCTAGTTGATTCTCCTTCCTTTGTTGAAAGATTAAACAAGTAGCTTTGTGGCTTAAAATAAGCCTTAAGACAATGGTATGCAAAATAATATGTTGCTAAACATCAAAAAGGTTACAATCATTCATCAAATGAGTATTCGTTGTCCAATAAGAAACACAATGAAAAGATTGTCATAGTTGTTGTTTATGTTGATGACATCTTAGTCACTAGTAATGATAATGAAGAAACTCAACAACTCAAGTCGTTTCTAGATTCAACTTTCAAGATTAAAGATTTAGGATTTTTTTTGGGTGGGGGGATTGGAGTTCATCTATATAAACATTGGCATGGTGATTTATCAACATAAATGCATAAGCAAACTCTTACCAGCATATTCCTTAACAAATGTAAGACCGATTTCAACTCCATTTCAATCAAAGACTTCTCTTTTCTCTTCCAAAAGTGCAATATTAGAAGATCCTTCTATATATCGTTAGTTGGTTGAAAAGCTAAATTTTCTATTGCATACCAAACCAAATTTGTCATTCACAGTTCAATTTTCAAGTCATTTCAATCAAACACCAACCAAGGATCATTATCAAGCTGCTCTTCATGTCTTACAATATCCTAAAGGCACGATACATCAAGGCTTATTCTTCAATAAATATCAAGAATACCAAGTTGAAGCTTTCTGTAACTATGATTAGGCTGCATGTCCTTTAACAAGACATTGACTCAATGGTTACTTTACTCTATTTGGATACAATCATATAGCATGGAAATCTAAGAAACAACAAACAATTTATCTTTCTTCAACCAAAATTGAATATCGATCTATGAGGAAAGTATGTTCTGAATTGGCTTAATTAAGTCAATTACTTGATGAACTACAAGTACCATACATAACACCAATTCCATTAAAATGTGATAATATTGTTGCCATTTATATAGCCAAAACCCCCGTTTGCCACGAGCGTACCAAACATATCGAAATCGATTGTCACTCTGTTCGAGAAAAAGCTTCAATTATGTTTGATTTCATTAGTTAATGTTCCAACCGGAAAACAAGTCACTCTGTTCGAGAAAAAGCTTCAATCAAATTTGATTTCATCAGTTAATGTTCCAACCGGAAAATAGTTAGCTCATGTTTTTTTACCAAATTGTTGTCTAGACCACATCATCAAGAAGGTGTAAACAATCTCAGGTTATTTTCATACCCTACAAATTAAGAGGGGTGTGAAGTTAATTAATGTCAAAGGGCATTTTTATCTTCTCCTACTATGATGGTTAGATTAATTGGCAGAGTTAGTTAGAAGATGTAATGTATTCGTCTCTATATTTATATGTATTGTATTTAGTTATGTGATGTAATTGAGACCATAGTTGTCAAAATCGCGATCCTGATCGTAGAATCGTACGATCCTACGATCCTAGGTATGAAAAACGATCCGGATCGTAAAAGGATCGTATTTGGGGTAGGATCGCAGGTAAGATCGTAAGATCGTAGGTAGGATCGTAGGATCGAGATCCGATCCGATCCTACCTTCCTTTGATTTTTTATTTTTATTTTTATTTATTTATTTTTTTGCAAATGAATTTTTTTTACCACTTTATGCCTTTTATCCTTTACCAATCTACCATTTATCATTTTTTATTGTGACTTATGACTAATATTTTGAAGTTTTTATTACTTTTGAATGAAAAACTAAATGTTTGAAATAGTTTTTATGATTAAATATTATAAATTAAAATTATATTCTATTTTGTGGGATTTTAGGATCTCGATCCCGATCTTACGATCCCGATCTTGCAAACCCAAAATCGATCCTAGGTAGGATCCCGATCTTGACAACCTTGATTGAGACAATCATACAATGAGTTCATCCATTTTTTCTCTCTGATAATAAACGTTGCATCCTTACATATAATAATCCCATAACAAATTTTGTTAAGTTTAAATGTAAACCAAAATACAGATATAACAAATAAATTCACTTGATAAATAATTAAAGGCATAAAAGTAAACACTTGTAAAGAAATTTTTATTGGAAAATTCTGCGCAAATATAAGCAACTAACAAAATGAAACATGTTAGAATCATCTTTGGATCTTAATTTTCAAAACAATGACAATGTTTAGAAAAAAATGATGTTGCAAAAGAGGATATAAGCGGTAAAAACAAAAAGAATATGTAAAGAACTTTTTGTATTATGTAAATGAGGTCATAGGATAATAAAATTTCTAAAATGTTTAAAAACCACATTAAACTAAAAGAAGAACGTCACCATAATATATCTAACAAATGTTTCTTTTTAAAATATCTCTCTTTTCATTGGTATTTTCAAAATGAAAGACAATAATTCGTTACCTTTTTTTGGTTCAATGTTTTTCAAACATTTTAGAATTCATTATCCTCACATGGAAAAGAGATCAATTTCCAAAAGATTAATTGCAGGCTTCAAATTTTATTAAAAAGGAAGTTTCGTAAAAAGAATCCGGATACACAATCACAAAAAAACTGGAACCATGTACAATATAATAGATAAGAACTAAGATTTTGACTTCCTTACATTTCTTCATTATAGCAAATACAAAATTGTGCAATAAAGTCTCATTTGTAAGGCCAGATATTATTTGCATACAAAATTGACAATGGATACGCTATTAATAATTGTTGCATTGTTAAAGCAAATTTCAAGTATTGTGTTTGAAGAAACAGAGCACTTTTCCTTTCAAAAAAGTCAAAGGAATCAAACATGTAGGAAGGTGGCGTCATTAAGCACATTGTAGATGCCATCAACATGCAAGACATTTAAGATTACAATAATTCAATCTCGTATATTTTCTCTAGAATACAAAAAAATAATATTATATTAGCTTGTTATCAATTTTCAAACTCAAATATTATGTCTAATCTTTAACAAATAACAAAAATCACTTGGCAAAAACTGAACATGATTGAGATAACAAATCCGATTAACCCCACGATTGAACTTTCAATAACGATATTACAATTTCTACTCTAACAACCAAACATGATCTTACTCAATTTTTCAGTCAATTCTTTTATACATTAATCTAAGAACTGGTAAATTTGGTGACAGCTTTCGTGCCCTCTGAAACAGCATGCTTTGCCAATTCACCGGGCAAAACCAACCTCACCGCCGTCTGAATTTCCCTGGAGGTGATCGTCAGCTTCTTGTTGTACCTCGCAAGCTTCGAGGATTCTTGAGCAAGCTTCTCAAAGATGTCGTTAATGAAAGAGTTCATAATCCCCATGGCCTTGCTTGAGATACCGATATCAGGATGAACCTGCTTCAAAACCTTGAAGATGTAGATCTTGTATGTCTCCACATTCTTCTTGCTTCTCTTCTTCTTCTTATCGGTGGCGCCGGCGCCGACTTCCTTGGGAAGCTTCTTCCCGGCCTTTGGTTTTTTCTCGGCGGGGGTTTTTTCAGCCACGACGGTTTTCTTCTCCTCTACCGACTTCTTCTCTGCTGGTTTCTTCTCTGCCTTTGGCGCCATTGTAGTGATTTGTATTCGAAATAAGAGAAAGAGAGAGAGTGTTGTGTTTGTGAGGGAATGAATTCTTGTGGATTGTGATATGAAGAGGAGGGGGATTTGTTTATATACGGATTGAGAGACGTGATCTGATTGGTTGATTTTTGTTGTCTCGGATGGTGTTTAGTGACCGTTGATTTCTAGTGAATGCTTCAACGGAGAGGATCTAATTTGAGGATAGTGAAGGTTATGTTAGTTTGACGTGGATCGACATTATTTTATAATGACAAAATTGCAAGTTTGGTCCCTGTGGTATGTCAAAAATTGGATGTTTGGTCCAAAAAGTTTTGGGGTTGTACTGGTGGTCCAAAAGCTTTGATTTGTTGTGGAATTGGTCCAAAGGCTTAACAGCCGTCTACCCCCTCCGTCTGTGTGAGGGTATTTTTGTCAATTCACGCTCATTCCTTTGATATCTTATTAAATTAAACCTCATCATCCTAATTAATTGATACCTGCCGCCAAATCCTCTGTGCATTTCGTCGATCGACTCTCCTGTCACTTTCATCTTCATTCGTTACCCAGAAGCCCTAACCTCCAAGTTGAGTTTTTTATTGTGATCGGTGTTATTTCAGTGTATGAACATACCAATGTGGAATATAAGGCTCTTAGACAAACCGTTCAACGCAAAGGTGGCTTATGGTAAGGATTTTGTAATTTCTCTGTACATTACATGTTTTGTATGTGAAATCATGCTTCTGAACTTATTTTTGTTGTTGGTTTGAAGATGGCCACCCAACATTATTTACCATCAAGCTATACCATGGAGGTGAGTTCACCAAGTTTCCTGATGTTCAATACATTGACGGAAGTGTGAACTATGTTGACATGGTGGATATAGACACGTTTTCAGTTCATGAGTTGGATGCTATCATGAAAGGGTTCAGGTACGGTGTTCCTCCTGTGATTTACTATCACTTCCTTGTGCCTGGTGGAGACTTCCACTTTGGTCTTAAACCCTTAGGCAATGATGATGATTTACGAACTTTTGCCCAATATGTGTGTGATCACAAAATCATGAGGGTATATACTGAACATGGTGAGACAAAGTTACTTACCTACTTTATGAATCCTAAACCTGTTAAGAAGGTAACTATTGTACAAATGGATGAAATAGATGAAAATGATGACAATGAAAACCACACAGCTGAGGTACAAGAATTTCCAAGCCCACCTAGATCATCCCCTGTTGAGGTTGAGGTACAACCATTACATGTCGAGGTTCATGATAGACAAAAAGAGCTTATTGCCAATGACTTTATGGAGGCAGCTACAGAATTTGATATTGGTTTGTATCAAAAGATGTTACAATCAAATGCAGATGTTCATGAACATGTACAAGTAGAAGTGGAAGAACATGTTCAAGATGAAGTAGAAGAACATGCACAAGTAGAAGTAGAAAAAAATGTACAAGATGAAGTGGAACTGGATCATGGACATGAGGCTGCCATGGAAGACAACTTGGATAATTACATGGATAATTACATAGACAACAACATCGATGATTACATGGAGACTGAAATGGAGCATGAAAATGGGAGCAAATCTGATGGAGAAGATGGGAGCATATCTGATAGGGGAGAGGGTAGTCACTGTGATGAGGAAAATGACAGTGAGGATAGTGAGGATAGTGATTGGGTGGATGAGGAGAATATCATTCCTGAAGTTGAAGTGGATATGAGGGATTTCCACATGAGCATTGACACTGAAGCAGAGTTTTTTGAGAAAAGACTAAGGAATAGCATGGAGAAAGATAGAAATCAGGAGCACGAAGATATGGAGTTGGATGTTATTGATAATGATGAATGGGATTCAACAGATGATGATTCCGAGATGGGCAAGAAGAGAAGACAAGTTATTAAAGAATTAGGTAAGGAAAAAAGGTGTTCTTTAGGAGAAGTTCATAAACCAACATTTCGTATAGGACAAAAATATAAAAGTAAAAAAGAGTTGAAAGACAAAATTGCCCATCATGCCTTGGAAACCAGGAAGAATCTTTTTATTAAGAAAAATGATAAACTTAGGTTGCGGGCCACATGCAAAGGAAAAGTAGTATTCAATGAGGGGCAAGTGGATGGACCTACCACTGGGAAGAAAAGTAAAGGCAAAAGTAAAAAGACAAAGACAAGTACTGAACTGTCTTGTCAGTGGGTTTTACAAGCATCTAGGAAAAGTGAGGAAGAAAGTTGGTGTGTGAAAACCTACCAACCTGAGCATTCATGTCTCAATACAAGAAAGGTAAGAACGGCCACAGCAAACTTCATCTCTAAACAGATTATGGATCTAGTGGAATCTAACCCAACTGTGCCAATCAAAGCTGTACAAGAACTACTTCAGAAAAGATATCAGGTGAGCTTCTCCAAAGACAAGGTATTTAGGGCTATAGCAGATGCCAAAAAACATGTGATGGGAGACTACACAAAACAATATGATGTGCTGAGAGATTACATATTAGAGTTGCAGTCCACAAATCCTGACACAACTGTGAAACTGGAACTGGTTCCAGAACCAAATCTTGTAAATGCAACTTCAAGATGTTTTCAGAGAATTTATATTTGCTTGGGTGGAATGAAAAAGGGGTTCAAAGCATGCTTAAGGGATTTTATTGGTTTAGATGGGGCCTTCATGAAAGGAGCTTACCCAGGGCAGATCTTGACTGCAGTTGGCTTAGATTCTAACAATGGTATATACCCATTGGCATACGCCATTGTTGAGTCTGAGAGCACACAAAGTTGGAAATGGTTTCTAGAGTACCTGGGAGATGATTTGGACCTGTCACAACTTTCAAACTTCACTTTCATAAGTGATAGACAAAAGGTAATAGATTTCCTTGATGTATTTTAGTTTTCTTATTACACTTGTATTATACTAACCACAGTTTAATGACTTTGTAGGGCTTAATTCCAGCCATTGCACAGTTGTTCCCGGTTGCTGAACACAGATTCTGTCTTAGACATATCTATGAAAACATGAGGAAGAGATGGAGAACTACTGAGTACAAAGAAAAGTTATGGAACTGTGCCAAAGCCACAACAGTGCAAGAATTCAATCGTTTGATGAAAGAGTTTAGTGAATATGACATAGAAGCTTATGAATGGTTGAAGAAGATCCCACCACAACATTGGGCTAGAAGCCATTTCACAGGTAGACAACTCTCAATTCAGTGCTAAGTTACACAAATTTGTTGTATGCTGTTCTAAATAACAATTATCTTGCAGGTAGACCAATCACAGACATGCTTTTAAATAACCTATGTGAAGTGTTTAACAGTAAACTGATAGAAGGTAGGGATAAACCAATAATCACATGCTTAGAGTACATTCGGGAGTACATGATGAAGAGGATTTGCAATGTGATAAAGGTTCAACAGAAGTGTGCAGGTCCATTGACTCCAACAGCAACAAAGATCATGGAAACAAACACAACAAATGCTTCTAACTACATAGCCAGGTGGAATTCCTCAGACAAGTATGAAGTACAAGGACCATGGCAAGATCAACATGTTGTTGACATGGGCCAAAGGGTATGCAGCTGTAGGAAATGGGAATTAACAGGAATTCCTTGTAGGCATGTGATTGCAGTCTTATTTGATAAAGCTGACAATGGTGAGGATGTGGGTGAACTTTACACTTATGTACACAAGGTGCATTGGCTTGAAACCTGGAAAGAGGCTTATTCCTACAAGGTAGAACCAATCAAAGGTCGTATCATGTGGCCTGTTAGTGATTGTCCAATAAAGATCAGCCCTCCTCCACATCGTAATCAGCCTGGTAGGCCCAAGAAGAAGAGGCAAAGATCCATGGAGGAAAAATCTCAAAGTCAGAGCCAAACTCAAAGTCAAAGTCAAACAATTGGTGCTAGTGGTATAGATGGTCATGGTCCAGGGGGCAGTGGAAAACTCACAAGGAAGTTCATTACTGTCACTTGTAGCAAGTGTAAAAACAAGGGACATAATGCAAGAACATGTAAGGGGCAATGAGGAAATTGATGTGTTGTCTTGTTGGATTAAGATGATGTAATGTGTTACTTTTGGGAACCATTGTGTTGTTCTTTTGGGTGTCTGTTTAATGGTTTTGATGTTTTTTGGACAACTTTACCCTCCGTTTAGAATGATGTTTTTTTTGGTCATGTAACAAGAATTTGGTATGTGCAAACAATGGTTATTAACTTTGGATGTTCTTTTGTTTATGCATCATTGTCCTTTACTTTTTAGCATCTTTATGTTACTATTAGGTTATGTTAAGCATTAACAGTTTGTCCCATCACTGCTATGTCTAGTAGAACCAAAATATTTGGATGTTTGAAACAAATAACTTCATTACCCACTAACCATAACAATGCATTCACTTTCATGTCCAAAAGAGTACATTCACAAACATAGCAATTTTCCCAAATCTACCACAAAATAAACCACTAAAACATGGAAGAACTACTTCATCAGAAAAAAAAACAAACCCAAAAAAAACCCAGCTACATATCAGGTACAACTTTAGTTTTGATTTTTCTTCCTTTATTTTTCCAATATCATACTTGAACATTTGATTTTCTTCCTTCAATTTTCCAACTTCAGTCTTTAGCTTGTTGATTGATCTCAGCAACCCAGGTATTATTGATTTTGATCGTTCACACATTTGAGGGTCGATCCATCCCACAAACCCACATGTCGAATCCTAGCAAAATATAAGAAGGAATTGAGTGATCAGTGAAAAATCTTCATAACCAACCACATGAATACTAACCTCTTTAGGGCATCCCCAAAAACGTCGACCAGGGTTCTTATCAGTCCAAGCCGTTCGCACTATCGCCATTTGACCACAAAAACACCTCACCATTGTTGATTTTGAGTTTGGAAGACACGATTTTGATTTTAGCAGGAGGAGGTATCGATTTAGGGAAAAGATGAAACACATGTTCGATCTATTAATAAGGAGAGTAGACGTTAGGGGGGGTTTAATTTAATAAGATATCAAAGGAATGAGCGTGAATTGACAAAAATACCCTCACACAGACGGAGGGGGTAGACGGCTGTTAAGCCTTTGGACCAATTCCACAACAAATCAAAGCTTTTGGACCACCAGTACAACCCCAAAACTTTTTGGACCAAACATCCAATTTTTGACATACCACAGGGACCAAACTTGCAATTTTGTCTTTTATAATTTAATCTCTCTTTTATAAAAGTATCTTTTAATCTGCACCTCACTTTTTTTTATATGTTTTATTGTTATTCAATTTAAAGTTATATGATCATCAGCTTTTTTTTTTAATTGTTGTTCATTTATAAACAATATAAAAACTCATGGGTTTATCTTATGGACAAAACTACATGATTGATCCATCGCCAGCACATCTCCGACATTTTCTCCTGTCAGCACTGCAATCGATGCCCACTGTCCTTAACCACCACCAACACTGACCCACTCAGTTTCTTGTACTATAGGTAGTGGCGTATGAGCATAGATGTGATGTTTTGGACGATGGATTACAGATATAGGCCTGTAGATATGAAATAATGTAGTAAGGCCTATGTTGTATTGTTTATACTTATGTACTGTATCGAACATGACATCTCGAGTCTTTTTAATGAAATACATTTCTAAGGAAATGCTTTTGATAAATCTTTATCATAATATTGTTTTGGGACAAATTCCGCAACTCTTTTATTAAAAGATTACTCTGATTTTGAAATAAAGTATAAACAAAACCGGTCTTTTCAGGCTGTGATTTTGGGGATGTCACACATATAACATGTCATAACATATTGGTTTCATGATAACATACATAGGTATACTGAGTCACATAATGGCATATCATAAGCATACGACTATACATGTGTGGGTTTGTCCACCCCTTCGGTATCTTTCAACCGGTAATCGTCTTCGGTATCTTTCAACCGGTAACCATGGGCTAGCGGGCCCTACTACTAATAACACATACTTAGCACATATATAACAACCAGACAATTATCACAAAGATAACCATCTCAACCATAATCTCCTACTGGTAGGCCGACAGTGGTGCCGTAAACCCACCCCTACTGGAAGGTAACTCACCTCGTAAGGCTAACTGTTGAAAAGTTGATCGACAGATGTTCGACTGCTACTCCGGTGATCCTCCGGCTATAATTCCCATAAAACACTTAGTCAGACACTGATAATTGTTCTTAGGGTAAAATGACTATTTTACCCCTAACCAAGTCAAAGTTAAAGTCAAAGTAAAAGTCAACTTCCAGTTGACCTGACCCGCCGAGTTAGGCCTCCAACTCGTCGAGTCCCTACCCTTCATTTGCCCTTCTTTATGCTTCTACTCGTCGAGTTTAACAATGACTCGACGAGTTCTCCTTCTAAAACAACCTCGAATGAACCTTCATCCGACTCGCCGAGTTATATGAACAACTCGTCGAGTTCATCCTCATCCTACAAGAAAGTCCTTGCTTGACTGGCTAAGATGTATGAACAACTCATCGAGTTCATCTTCAAAAGTTGGGAGATTGCCTTGGATTCGTCGAGTCTGCTCATGCACCTGTCGAGTCCTATGAACTCTAGGTCTATGGGTAAGTCCAACACATTGGGTCACTCCCTTGGAACCTCTAAAACCCTTATAAGACTCAATTGGGTCCATTTGAACCCTAACAGAAAGGGGAGTCAAGCCTCGGACTCGCCGAGTCCTAAGAACAACTCGCCGAGTCGAGGTTGTTTAAGTCCCATTTATCGATTTCTGATGTATAACACTTGTCCAAAGCATATATCTAGGCTCCTAATATCGATCTAGCACGTAAAGTTACAAACTTTACGTGCATGCATGAGAGAATAAGCTCAAAAGGCTCTAAAATAAACTCTTAAAATGCATGAGGCTTTCTAAGGCCCCAAAGTCAGCCACTTTATGTCTTGTAGTCCCTTAAGGACCTTGGATCCAGAGTTTTAGCCTCAACCATGCTTGCACTCATAGTTGGTCACCAAAAATGGCTCCTTAAAGCCCTAATTTATTCCAAAAAGGAATCTAAAACATGAATGAGTAAGGTATAAACTTTATACCTCCAAAGAACTGTAGATGTAACACAAACTCGGGATCTTCTGATTTCCTCTTGGCTCTTCAAGCTTTCCTTCCTTCTTGTGATCATAAACCACCAAAATCCACCAAAGAGGCCTTAGATCTCCACCAAAGATGATTAAGGTTTAATGTGAGGTGTTATGAGAGCATATGGGACGAGGGAGGATGAATAAGATGTTTAAATAGGGTGCAAACCCTTGGATTAGGGTTTTGTCCAGACAAGGTCTACTCTTCGAGTCTTGCTGCCGACTCGACGAGTCCGCCACTTATCCCCCGGGTCCAAGTTGCTTCTACTAGACGGGTTGGGCCTTCAACTCGCAGAGTCCATTCCAAAATGTGAAGAATACTTGAATGAGATACATACCAGGTTCCGGATGCTACAAATTTCACACACTTATTTTAAACTTCATCCTTGAAGTCTACTGCTCGATCTGGAAAAGCTCCGGATAATGCTCCATCATCTCTTCCATCGGCTCCCACGTCCACTCCGAGCCCTTCCGGTGCTGCCATTGCACCTTCACCAGCTCGACCTTCTTGTTCCTCAGATCCTTTGACTTCCGGTCGAGGATCGCCATAGGCCGCTCAATGTAGTTCAGGCTGTCGTCAACCTGAATGTCCTTCAGGGGCACCACTTCCGAGTCATCCACTAGGCACTTCCGCAACTGGGAAACGTGGAAAGTGTTGTGGATCTGACTGAGTTCAGTTAGCAGATCCAGCCTGTACGCCACCTTGCCCATCCGGGCTATAACCCTGAAAGGTCCGATGTACCTGGGGCCCAAATTGCCCCACTTCCTGAACCAGATGACGCCCTTCCAAGGTGATACCTTCAGGAGAACCATATCCCTGACCTAGAACTCCAAGTCTGAACGACGCTTGTCCGCATAGCTTTTCTGCTGACTTTGTGCAGTCTGGAGTCTGCTCCTGACCTGCTGAATCCTCTCTATCGTATTGAGCGCCACTTCGGTGCTCCTCATGACCCTCTAGCCAACCTCACCCTAACATATCGGGGTCCTGCACTTTCTCCCGTATAACATCTCAAAGGGAGGACGAACGATACTCGCGTGGTAGCTGTTGTTGTAGGTTAATTCAGCCAATGGGTGGTAAGTGTCCCAACTACCACCAAAGTCTAGCACACCTGCCCGCAGCATATCCTCCAGAGTTTGGATGGTCCGCTCGCTCTGACCATCCGTCTGCGGGTAAAATGCGGTGCTAAAATGGAGACGAGTACCCAACTCGTCGTAGAATTTCTTCCAGAACTTGGAAGTAAACCGCACATCCCTGTCCAAAACCACAGACACTGGCACCCCGTGCATCGCCACCACCTCTCGAATGTAGATGTCAGCCAGCTTGTCGGCCGATATACTCTCCTGGATCGATATAAAATAGGCTCTCTTGGTCAACCGATCCACAATGACCCATATGCAGGGCCGGTCCATTGTTTTTTGCTACCCGGGGCGAGATAAAAAATTTTATGCCCTTATATATAAAAAATTTAGAAAATCAAAAATATAGTAAATTTTATAATCAAACAATCAATACAATACAAACGAAACCTACAAAAATCATCTAAACCGTTGACTTCGTGCATTTTTTGAAGCAAAAATATCTCTTATTTTACAATAATCAATATTTTGTAGAAAATCACTTTCAATACTTAAAAGTGATAATCCATTCAATCTTTCTTGAGACATAGTACTTCGGAGATACGATTTCAAAAGCTTCAATTTTGAAAAACTTCTTTCCGCGGAAGCAACCGTAACCGGCACTGTCAATAAGATCCTATATGCAACCAAAACATTAGGGAACATATCCATTCTTCTTGCATACTCCATTATTTGAATAGATGTCCAAGGACCTTCACATTTGTATGCTTCATTAGGTAACATTTTCTGCAAAATTTGTAACTCAATAAATAAACCAATTCCATCAATATCACATTCTTCACCACTTGTCAAGTTGGACTCAAGATTTAAACAACATTTTTTTAATTTATCATCATCTAAAGAAACTAATTTGGAACCATCAAATAAAAAACCAAATATAGATTCAAAATATTGCATTTGTTCAAATCTACTTTTCAATTGAACAAGAGCCATATCTACTATAACAATAAAATAATCTCTTTTAAATGCTTCTTG